GGACACCCCTGGGGGCTGAGGAGAACCACAACACGCTGCTCACTAAAGGAGCAGTGCCGGCCGGTGAGGGGACACGGGGACACCTGGGGAGGTTGGGAGACACCAAAGGAGCAGTGCCAGCCAGTGAGGGACATGGGGACACCTCGGGGGGCTGGGAGTGTCACCCCTGGATGGTGTCACTTTGAAGGGACATCGGTTGGAGGACATTGCTTAGGGGATCCCCATCGGTCACCCCGTTGGGGACAGCAGGTGGTGGCCACCCAGCACCCATGGGTGGTCATTCCATGAGGACACAGCCATGGCTGCTGTCACTCTTGAGTCCCCGTGGTGGCTCTGCAGCCCCGGGGGTGTCCCCTGGCAGGTGACACAGCCAGGTGACACCGATGTCACATCGTCCCCAGCGCAACAGCCGCTACGATGGGCAGATCGCCGTGTTCGGGGCCGACCTGCAGGCCAAGCTGGGCGCCCAGAAGTACTTTGTGGTCAGTGTCCCCAATGTCCCCAGTGTCCCCACCCGTGTCTTCCATCATCTGTGAGTTTCTTGTGTTGTCACCTATTCCTCAAATGTCACCAAATTTCCTTTTGTGATTTTACCAAGTGTCACCTTTCCCACCCTCCTGGGTCACCTGAAGTGTCCCCATGTGTCCCTTAGGTGTCCCCTGGTGTCCTCACACATTTCCTGATAATTCCTTCAAGTCATCTGTATGTCCTCAATGTCCCTTGTGTCCCCAATTCTGTTCAAGTGTCCCAAAGTGTCCCCTCACCCCCATTCTTTTCCCACCATCTGTCCCCAGCCCCATGGGCCACCTCCTGCTCCCCACATGTCCCCAACCCTGTGGGCCACCTTGTACTGTGTCCTCACATGTCCCCAACCCCGTGGGCCACCTCATGCTGTGTCCTCATGTGTCCCCAACCCTGTCGGCCACCTCCTTCTATGTCCCCATATGTCCCCAACCCCACTGGCCACCTCGTGCTCTGTCCCCACATGTCCCCAACCCTGTGGGCCACCTTCTGTTGTGTCCCCACATGTCCCCAATCCCATGGGCCACGTCCTGCTATGTCCCCACATGGCTTCACTTCTGCCTGCACATGTCCCCACATGTCCCCAACCCTGTGGGCCACCTCATGCTGTGTCCTCACGTGTCCCCAACCCTGTGGACCACCTCCTGCTGTGTCCCCACATGTCCCCAATCCCATAAGCCAGCTCATGCTCTGTCCCCACATATCCCCACATGTCCCCAACCCTGTGGGCCACCTCGTGCTCTGTCCCCATATGTCCCCAGCTCTGTGGGCCACCTCATGCTGTGTCCTCACGTGTCCCCAACTCTGTGGGCCACCTCCTGCTGTGTCCCCACATGTCCCCAATCCCATGAGCCAGCTTGTGCTCTGTCCTCACATATCCCCACATGTCCCCAACCCTGTGGGCCACCTCCTTCTATGTCCCCATGTGTCTCCAACCCCACTGGCCACCTTGTGCTCTGTCCCCACATGTCCCCAACCCTGTGGGCCACCTTCTGCTGTGTCCCCACATGTCCCCAATCCCATGGGCCACCTCCTGCTATGTCCCCACATGGCTTCACTTCTGCCTGCACATGTCCCCACATGTCCCCAACCCTGTGGGCCACCTCGTGCTCTGTCCCCACATATCCCCACATGTCCCCAACCCTGTGGGCCACCTCATGCTGTGTCCTCACGTGTCGCCAACCCCATGGGCCAGCTCATGCTCTGTCCCCACATATCCCCACATGTCCCCAACCCTGTGGGCCACCTCGTGCCGTGTCCCCACATGTCCCCACATGTCCCCGGCAGGTGGGAGCGGGGGCCATCGGCTGCGAGCTGCTCAAGAACTTTGCCATGGTGGGCCTGGGCTGCGGCCCCGAGGGCAGCGTCACCGTCACCGACATGGACACCATCGAGAAGTCCAACCTCAACCGCCAGTTCCTCTTCCGGCCGTGGGACGTCACGGTGAGGGCTGGGAGTGACCCAAGAGTTGGCCAACGTTGGGTTGGCTACACCAAGTGGGGATGGAGGAGTTGGAGGGATGATGAGGGGCAGAGTTTGGGGGGTCTGGAAGGGCAGGACCAGTGGGAGTTGATGATGCCATTGAGTTGGCCAAGGTCAATGGTTGAGTTCCGTGCTCAACGTCAAGGATTGAGTTTCGTGCTCAACGTCAGCGGTTCAGTGTCACGCTCAACGTCAACACTTAGGTTCCTTGGTCAATGTTAATGGTTGAGTTTCTTGGTCAAAATCAGCAGCTGAGTTTTGTGCTCAACATCAACAGTTGAGTTTTTTGGCCAATGTCACCCTTAGAGTTTCTTGGCTAACTTCAACAGTTGAGTTTCTTGGTCAGTGTTTCAGGTTGAATTTTGTGCTCATTACTTTCTTGGCCAACATGAACAATCAAGTTTCGTGCTTGATGTTGACTGTTGAGTTTCTTTGTTAGTGTCGACAGTTGAATTTTTTGACCAACGTCAATAATTGGGTTTCTTGGTCAAGATCAACAATTGAGTTTTGTGCTCAATGTCAATGGTTGAGTTTCTTGGTCAACATCAACAATTGAGTTTTGTGCTCAATGTCAACAGTTGAGTTTCTTGGCCAATGTCAATGGTTGAGTTTCATGCTTAGCGTCAATGTTTCAATTACTTGTTGAACATCAACAATTGATTTTCCTGGTTAATACCAATGGTTGAATTTTGTGCTCATTACTTTCTTGGCCAACATGAACAATCAAGTTTCGTGCTTGATGTTGACTGTTGAGTTTCTTTGTTAGTGTCAACAGTTGAATTTTTTGACCAACGTCAATAATTGGGTTTCTTGGTCAAGATCAACAATTGAGTTTTGTGCTCAATGTCAATGGTTGAGTTTCTTGGTCAACATCAACAATTGAGTTTTGTGCTCAATGTCAACAGTTGAGTTTCTTGGCCAACATCAACGATTGAATTTTGCAGTCAATGCCAACAGTTGAGTTTCTTGGCCAGTGTCAACAGTTGAGTTTGTTGGCCAACATCAACAATTGAGTTTTGTGCTCAATGTCAACAGTTGAGTTTCTTGGCCAATGTCAATGGTTGAGTTTCATGCTTAGCGTCAATGTTTCAATTACTTGTTGAACATCAACAATTGATTTTCCTGGTTAATACCAATGGTTGAATTTTGTGCTCAACGTCAACAATTGAGTTTCTTGGCCAACATAATTGATTGAATTTTGTGGTCAATGTAAACAGTTGAGTTTCTTGGCCAACATCAACAACTGAATTCTGTGCTCAACATCAACAGTTGAGTTTCTTGGTCAGCATTTGATTTTATTGATTTTTCTGGTTAATGCCAATGGTTGAGTTTTGTGGTCAATGTCAACAGTTGAGTTTTTTGGCCAACATCAATAATTGATTTTCCTGTTTAATATCAATGCTTGCGTTTTTGCGCTCAACATGAACAGTTGAGTTTCTTGGCCAACGTCAACGCTTGAATTTCGTGCTCAACGTCAGTAGTTGAGTTCTTGACCAATGCCCACAGTTGAGTTTCTTGGCCAACACCAACGATTGAATTTTGCAGTCAACGTCAACAGTTGAGTTTCTTGGTCAACGCCAATGGTTGAGTATCTTGGGCTACATCAACGATTGAATTTTGTGCTCAACATCAACAGTTGAGTTTCTTGGCCAGTGTCAACAGTTGAGTTTCTTGGCCAACATCAACGATTGAGTTTTGTGCTCAACATCAGTAGTTGAGTTCTTGGCCAATGCCTACAGTTGAGTTTCTTGGCCAACATCAGCAGTTGAATTTTGCAGTCAACGCCATTGGTTGAGTTTCTTGGCCAACACCAACAATTGAATTTTGCCGTCAACACCATTGGTTGAGTTTCTCGGCCAACGTCAACAATTGAATTTTGCAGTCAACGTCAACAGTTGAGTTTCTTGGTCAACACCAATGGTTGAGTTTCTTGGGCTACGTCAACGATTGAATTTTGTGGTCAGTGTCAACAGTTGAGTTTCTTGGCCAGTGTCAACAGTTGAGTTTGTTGGCCAACATCAACGATTGAGTTTTGTGCTCAACGTCAGTAGTTGAGTTCTTGACCAATGCCCACAGTTGAGTTTCTTGGCCAACACCAACAATTGAATTTTGCAGTCAACGTCAACAGTTGAGTTTCTTGGCCAACATCAACGATTGAATTTTGTGGTCAACGTCAACAGTTGAGTTTCTTGGTCAACACCAATGGTTGAGTATCTTGGGCTACATCAATGATTGAATTTTGTGGTCAGTGTCAACAGTTGAGTTTGTTGGCCAACATCGATTGAGTTTTGTGCTCAACGTCAGTAGTTGAGTTCTTGGCCAATGCCCACAGTTAAGTTTCTTGGCCAATACCAACAATTGAATTTTGCAGTCAACGCCAACAGCTGAGTTTCTTGGCCAACACCATTGGTTGAGTTTCTTGGCCAACATCAACGATTGAATTTTGCAGTCAACGCTAACAGTTGAGTTTCTTGGTCAACACCAATGGTTGAGTATCTTGGGCTACGTCAACGATTGAATTTTGTGGTCAGTGTCAACAGTTGAGTTTCTTGGCTAGTGTCAACAGTTGAGTTTGTTGGCCAACATCAACGATTGAATTTTGCAGTCAATGCCAACAGCTGAGTTTCTTGGCCAACACCAACAATTGAATTTTGTGGCCAGTGTCAACAGTTGACTTTCTTGGCCAACATCAACGATTGAGTTGTGTGGTCAATGCCAACAAC